TTTAGTTAACAAGTCTCTACAGGTTCAAAATTCATTGGTTCTACTTAACAGGGCATGGGTTTTGTTTCAAAATGTCAATACCTCCTGTAAATAAAGCTATATGTCTGGACAACATGATAACCTTGATTGTTACATCTTTAAAGTCAGGATGGACTACCTTTAAAGGGTGCTACACTATATATTTATAGAGACAGGCATGTCAGAAAAATAAACATGATTGTCATTCAATAATTTGGCTAAAAACAGCACAGTAGAAATCAGTACGAAATCACAAACATAGGACACAATAGCAGAATAGCAACCAATAATGGAATGGAGATGAGAATATGACCATTCAGATTCATAGCAGTGAAATGATCTCCCATATGGGTCCAGAGTGCAGTCAGTGTGCAGTGTGCAGAGAGTAAAATCCTGTCAACCCTCATGTCCATGGAGAGGTTTTTGTATTGATGTTTATCACAGTGGCCACTCAGGTACACAGTGACTCACGCCATTACAAAAACCCATGTCACATACAGCCACAGAATCCTCTCAGTAAAACTCACCGAAACCTCCAATGTCTCCATGTGGACAATGTATTTTCCAATCCTGTATAATTTACAACCACCATGGAAGTTCAATTAAAGCACTTTTTTTGATCACATGATTTACAGTGTAAAGAAAATAGTTGTTCCCCAGTGTATGTCTGTTTTAAAGTTTTTAATGATGAGATTTCTTTCTCTGAAGTATACCTAAAGAGTATGGACATTAGTTTGAGTTGATAATGTGTAGAAACGTACAAGCACGTTTAGGTTAGCTGCCTGTAGACAATCAGAATGTATATGCCTGTGTGCCTTTGGTGTCAGCACTCTCACACTCTGTGTTTGGTAGAGGTGGTAGGTTTTTGTCATGGACTGTATCATTGTGACCTGCTATATGGTACAGTGGTTTAACCCTGTACAAAAACCTACCCACAACTCTGTGCAGGGCCAAAGCTGGAATAAACATGTGCAACTTTTCAAAACAACCATAACATGATCTATTGATTTTAATCTGATGAACAGTATGTCAAATGATGTTTTACTACTTATTAATAACTCTTTGATTAGTTTGAGCTTTCAGCTTTTGCTCTGTCAGGCATTTTGACCATGACAATGCTTAAAGAACCTTGCTGTGGTCAGTTTTATACACAGTAATTAAGTTAATGTTTAGTTCTTATTTAAAGTGAAATGTTTATTTTATATTTTTTTAACAAATACATTCTGTTGTCAGAATCCAATAATTGGAGTAGCTGTTTAAATGTTTTCTCTTGTAATTGCGTATGAGATGAAGTAAGTAACCATATTCCACCACAGTGGTTTTTGTTATGGTGTGTAACACTGTGCCCCCGTAGTTATCACGATGACACACACCCATACAAAAACCTCTCCACACACCAGAGACCAATACATCTATCAGGGACCTGTCATATTTCTCTGGAGTCATCACAAATCTCTCTGATTCAATGAATGATCTTATTTTTACCCTGGAAATGTGTCTTTAGCCAGTAGAGTTGATCTTGCCAGATTTTATCATCCAAATGTATATGAAAAAATGCCAATCCATTCCGTTCTCACCGGCCATTGCGTTTGAAGGAGAGCGTGCACAGATGAGCATGGATAATAATACATCTTAGAGTGAGTTATGCAGCATCTCTTTAGGTTGTCAAATAAATGCTCTTTGCACTACAGGAATATGAATGAGAATGAGAATTTGTACTAATGTGGAGTGTGTTACATATTATGGTACAGTATTGGGACATCATACTGTAGAACAGTGGTATTCTAAGAAGCGGCAGTGACCCCTAGGTTGGCCACAGAGGTATTGCGTGTGCATATGAGGCATAGTTTTGGCTGGGTAGTTTTGGTGCAGCTGCCCCAGCAATTTCAGTCACGGTGTCTCTCGAGCACAACAATAAACGGTAGAGTCCTCTGCTCTCAGACTCTTGGCCTCTAAGAACTGTGTGCTTGTGGAGACGTCCTCAGTCAGGGTGAACTGGCCTTTCAGGGAGTCTGAGTAGTCTGGAGCATCTGTTGAACCAGAGTCAATACCCCCAATCCACTCCAGAGCTTTGCCTGGTTTCTGCCTTATTCAGTTCATGTAGTAGCTTGTCATATCAAACCCAGAGATTTTACAGGACAATTTAACAGTGTCTCCAGGTCTTTTCACCTGAGAAGGTGACAGATCCATGTCATCACAGCAAACTCCTGCAAACATCACAAAGGTTTTTCAATAAATTATTAATTCAACAAATGTAACTTTTCTGGTGAAAATGTACTGGCTTCATACTCACCCTATATGCATGCTAGTGTGAAAATAACAAAACCACAGCTGTTCAAAATCATTCTGCTTTCTGAAATGTCATATAACTCTAGTAACTAATGTATGTGTTGAATGTTGAGTTGGCAACATGCTGCTTTATACACAGAGGGGAAGGGAAGTAAGTTAGCATAGCTCTCCCTCTGGAGGTTGGCCACAGCTAGCACTGGGCTATTCAACTTATCTCCTGTAGGTTCTACACCTATCACTGAATAGACTTACTATTTATTACCAAATGCTGCATAGGATAGACCTTTTCCATATTTTCCATCATTTGATTCCATATCCAAAAATAATTATTTTGAATAGCACTACAGATCAAATCAAAGTTGCCGTAACACCTGCAAATCCTATACATGATCAATAAACTTTGATTTGATTTAATCTCCAGCACTATTCAACATTATTCTCTTTTAATAATACTTACTGTAATATATATGGCAGAGATGAGGGCCAGTCTCTTATTACAGTAAAAAATACTTCCTTCATGGTGTGACTCCACAGACCTCCAATAGATGATAGTGTTTAACTGGTTTACAAGAGCTGCTGTCCTGAAGCTCCCTGTAATTGTTAGCAGAAGTAGCCTCATGCACTGAATACAAGAGTTGCTGTGGATAGCAGCTCTGATGCCTGGCAGCCTGTTAGTCTCCAGTAGCATTTACACATATAAAAAGTGACCTGTATCTAAGTCAGTGGTTCACAACCGTGATGGGATATAACATTGGGATAAAACATTAAAAATCTAAATCAGTCAGTTTAAGCTAGAGATATATCTGTTTTGTGTATAAGATGCCTTCGGCATCTGAGGTGGGAAGTGGCAGAGCTACAGCACTGTTTTCCAGACCAGGGGACATCTCGAAAATCTGTCTTCTCATTAAAATCTGTAGTGTCTGAATGGATTGGCCAACAGGATGAGACTCTCACAAACACAATGGTGTTCTCTGTTTTGTCCTACAACCCCCAGAGGTATCATAAACCTGGTACCGGTTTGTAAATAAAATATCCTGAGCTTTCTCATATCTTTAGATATAGGATAGACAGTTCAAAACCATATTACTTTTGATAGATTTGTCTGTTTTGCCATTTATAAATGTTTATAAAGGCCAAATTTACTATTTTATGAAATACAGTAATTTGTTTATTTATTTTTGTTGATAACAGAAGGGGTCCTCAAATTCCAAATCAAATAGATAAATGATCCATGTTATGACCATCTTAAAACAATTCCCCCCTCCCCCCAAAGGCTTAAACTTTTAGGGTGAAGAGCGTCCCACAAATCTGCTCCAGAAATATATATTTTTATCTCCAGTAAAATAGGTCTTTACTTTTGAATGGTTTGAGCTGGAGACAAGCTGTTTTCCGCATTGTAAAGGCACAACCACGGACACAAAGCCATGCTCCATTTGTTTCTACGGCAGATGCTGCGGTATAGCTAAGCCCAGAGCCATATAGAAATACAATACTCTGGCTAAACATAATCATACTTTCGTGTGCTTAAATGGTTTTCACAGACTTTGCCCTTGTTGGTTGCCCCTCAACAGCCTGAGGGCACTGGACTTGAAACAACGATACAGATGTAACCATGTGTCATTTAATGTATTATCTGACCGTCACTAGTCCTCTCAAGTCAAAATTTAATGTGGATTCATTTCATGAGTGATCCAAGTTTCGAAGCATACCTGAGAGTTCCTGAACTCACACCAGTGTGTGGCGGCACATCGGTTGGGAACCACTGATCTAAGTTACCAAGTAATCAACAACTTAAAAAAGAAACCTACTTTTGAACGAAATTAATGACTTTTATGACATAAACTAATTCCAACCTATTGGAAATAGTGGAAAAATATATTGTGTGCGTGGTAGCCCAATTATAGAAATACAAAGCGACACACCCAAGTTCACGCGACCATACGACATACATAGGAAAATCAAAGCACAAAAATACTTTGGGTTTTGTTTATATATATATTTATATACTGTAGATGGGTGTGTGCTTGTGTGGGTGTGTGCGTGCATGCATTGCTTTCATACAAGCAGTGTTTCTCTTCTTTCAAGGAAGTGTATTTGTGTTCCTGGCAGTTGCTGGACAGTTTCAGTTCCACAGGTGTGATATCAAGGGGATAGAGAGAGAGGAAGCTGCTTTTGCACGACACTATTATTAGACAAGTTAGAGAACCAAGAAACCACCTCAGATCAACTGATAACAGAAAGTTGAAGTTTTAGTTGAGTATTACAGATATAGCCCAACGTTGTTTTCATCTGTCCTGGGAGGGACAACAGCCGTAAATTGGCTCCATAGATAACTCTGCCAAGCAGAAACACTCAAATCAGTAATGTCTTTGGATATAGGATGTGTCCTTCAATTACAATCCAGTCGATGTCTCGGTAAAAACACAACAACTAAAAGTTAGACTTTATTAAAGTGAAAAAGGACACACAAACATCACAGGATACACAGGATACAATATAAATCAATGAATGAAAAATAACATATCACCACAATGCTTGTATAATATTGAGAACAACAATACTAATCAATCATAATCAATAACGTATTGGATATATACATAACATTATTACTAAAGAACACTATGCCATAACCATTCTAGACCATTTCCTTTCTAATCTAGACACATCTATCTCTGCAGTCCATCATGTGTTCTTCACTGCTTCATCTGAAAAGAGGCAGAGACAGACACAGGTTATTACAATAAACAGACAGCAAAGTGGAAAAACGCAGGTTACCTTTAGCCCACAAAGAGTGTCTCACCTCTCCTCCATGTATATAATCATATTTGGAAGAGAAAGGAGCAACCCTCGCTCACAATCAAATAAAATATAATAAAATGTTATTGGTCACATACACATATTTAGCAGATGTTATTAAGGGTGTAGCCAAATGCTTGTGTTCAATTAAACACTTGATACATTATTTTTCATTTAAAATCGTGACGTTTCAGCTGCCAATGGCCTTCATCAGAAGTCTACAATCACATGAAATAAGCGGTGTCAGTACCTTGACCAGGCTGAGCACTGTGCTGTAGGTGAGGGAGAGAAGGAAGAGGATGATGAAGGAGGAGGTGGTGGACCACAGGCTGCTGAACTCATCCTCATCGTTGTCCGTGCAGCTCAGAGCGAAGCCCGCCTCAGGCTCAGTCAGTAGGATGTTCTCTGAGAACAGGGAGAGAGACAGGTGGTGAAGAACGGACATACGCTTGTGTCTGCCTGTTTGTGTGTTTTCATGTGTGTCTGCGTGTGTGTGTGTGTGTGTTCATGTGTATCTGCGTATGTGTGTGTGTGTGTTCATGTGTGTCTGCGTGTTTGCGTGTGTGTGTGTGTTCATGTTTGTATGTGTATTGTACACCTGTATTAGTCTTTATCATATTCCAGCAAATACAGCTACATGAGTTCAAATTTTATGGACACACACAGACACACACATCAACACACAAAGAACACATGAAACTGAGCTGTGCAGACTTCTATCTAGGCCTAATGTTAACATGCACATCCACTCACATTTATGTCAAACCAAACCTATACACTAAATAGTACATCCATGACCACCTTACTGGAAGCACAGTACTACTATGTAGGCTATTCAGTACTGTTGTGTCTTTTCATGCCAAAACAATTGTCTTCATTCTGTTTTTATATGTACAATAGACCAGTATATTTTCTAAGACTTGAAGTAATTGATATAGGAACACGGAACCATGTGATCTCATATGCGATATTGTTTATTAGCCAGCCTCCACATTAGGAAGGCACATTGAACAATGACAAAGGACAACAATGGCAACACAAGACTGTGCAATAGGACTGACATCTTACAACACAATAGACTGGACAATATCACATTAAACAATATACATGTCTACAGTCAACAAAACAATGACAACACTAACATGTTAACTTTAACTCAACAAGGACAACAAAGATGACAACAGTGGACACACTTAGTAATTGGCTATTCTGACCCACAGAGGAGTCAATAAGGAGACACAACGACACAACACACACAGATTAAAATCACTTGTCTTCACATGAGTTACCCATGGACTTCGACACACTCCTCTCCTTAGGTGCGGTGTTGTTCTCCGAGCCGGCGTACTTGACGGCGCATTTGAAATGCACGTTTGTCTGCCACTCATTCTTGGTGGTGGTGAAGACGCTGGTAACAGAGTCGTTGCCTTCCGGGGTTTTCTGAGGACGGCTGGTGACCCCCTCCTGGTACTCGCCGCTGCCCACCTTCCACATGATGTAGACGTCACAGAGAGACGGGCTGACCACCAGGCACACCAGAGTCACTTCCCCCTCCTCCTTTGTGTCTTCCTCCGGGAGAAGGTGGACGGACACTGAAGGGGCTCGACCTGCAAGAGGATTGATTTTAAGGAAAAACGTTACACTCATGTACGTGTAGGCACATATGAAAAGCAGTATGTGAATATCAGTTTAAAATCCAACCTAGTGGTCCTTAACCCTAGTTCTGGAGCACCACAGGTGTGTGCAGGTTTCTGTTCTAGCCCAGCACTAACACACCGGATTCAACTAAGCAAAGGTGATGATTAGTTAATGATTAGTTGATTTGCTGACTCAGGTGTGTTAGCGCTGGGCTGGAGCAAAAGTCTGCACATCCTGTGGCTTCCACTCCAGAACCTGGAGCATGTGACCACTTATCACAACCACATTGAGATGTCTCAGTGACCTACATCCTTTGGTGAAGCTGAGGTCCTGAATGACCGGTGTGACTTCACCGCTCTTCATGACAGAACACTGGACTTTGTTCACATTGGTCCACTTCGGCTGGTCTATGGTCAGAGTGCTGACCTTGCTGTTCAGGTTGCCCTTTGATTCAATAGGTTTCAGATGGATGCCATTCGTCGTGGCCTGTCCGTTGACCTGCCAGGTGATAGTGGTACCAGACACTGTGTCCTTGTCTGTACCAGTGATGACACAGTCCAGCATTGCTTGGTTGTCCAAGAAAAACTTTTTCACACTCGGTGGGTTCAGAGTCACCGTCAGTGGTTCTGAAAGGGGAGGGAAGCAGTGGGAAAGCATGCCATGTTAATGTTACTGATGAGGAACTACACTAAATAATAGAGATCCTGTGTGTGTGCATGACATAAATTGTAGTACAGTCTACTCCTATGTACAGACCTGTTTTGGAGATTGTCTTGGTGATGTTTTGTTCCTGGTCCTGCACCACACAGCTGTACTGGACCTTGTTGTTCCAGTCAGTGTTGATGACCTTCAGCAGACTGCTGGCTGAGAAGAGGCCTGACTGCTGTTGGCCTACAGTAGGGGTCGGGCCCTGCACCTCCTTGTCATTCTTCTTCCAGGTGACAGTGACGTTCGTTGTGGCAAAATGTTCAATCATACACATCAAGTACTGGGTGGTTCCAATGGGCGCCGACAGCAAAGACACTGTTGGAAGTAAGACTGAGAGGTGGGAGGTAAAAGAAATGGACGCATGTTAGTTTAACCCCTTATTGAAATAATACTGATATTTTCAAAGAAATCCAGGGTAAACACCAAGTATCATTCTATAGCAGGTTTTCTAAACATTAATAGTTTACATCACAAACATTCAAATGCAATCTTTAGAAAAATAGAGCCAACTTCAATATAATATAATGACCACATCTTACCTGGTTTTTTTATGTCTGCTGTCTTTTCACCTCCAGGATGTTCCACGGAACATGTGAAAGTCTTTGAGTTTTTCCAGACATTCTTATCCACGCGGAGCTGACTGACTCCTGTGTAGGTTTCCCCGCTCTGGACCGCCGGGTACTGGATGAAGTCCGTCAGCGCACTCCCGCTGGCGTCTGTCCATTTGAAGGTGAGTGAGGAAGGAGAAAACCCGGTAGCGACACAACCGATGCTGTAGACGTTGTTAGTAGGGGTTCCACAGTTCATAAGAGTGAGCAGAGCAGAGGGGGCTATGGTTGCTGCAAGAAAGAAAGAAAGAAAGAAAGAAAGAAAGAAAGAAAGAAAGAAAGAAAGAAAGAAAGAAAGAAAGAAAGAAAGAAAGAAAGAAAGAAAGAAAGAAAGAAAGAAAGAAAGAAAGAAAGAAAGAAAGAAAGAAAGAAATGTAACACTTTATTTGAATGTACAGAAATGACATGGTAACTACTAGGAATTACCGTGGTAAAATGGTCATTACACAGTTATAACCTAAGAACTACATGTTCATTTAATCTTGCACTATAAGGCACCATTTAGTTCTATGTAGTTGGTTGTCTTGTATTCTTTGAGATATAACTACCACTAAGTTTAATATTTTATTAGTCGTATGTACAGGATACACATCGTGTGCACCGTCTAATGTAATGCTTACTTGCAGGTTCCTTCTCAACAATGCAACAACAATAAGAAATAATAAAATATAAGAATACAAACATTAAGTAACTGGCTCAGTAGAATAGAAAAAACATTTTTGAAAAGGTATAATACAGGAAGGCACAATTAAGTACACATTAACTCATTCAATTGCAGACACATTTACCAGTGAAAACAACCATAAAATAAAACATGCTGTTCCTCTAATACCAATTAATTGAAATCATTTTAATTAAATGATTTATATGGACTAAGGTGATGCCAATTAACACTCAATTCAATATGGGCTAAGATGAACTCTGCTCATATTATCTTACCCTTCATTTGGTTTATGTGTTTGACTCCCACATTTTCATTTTCATAGGGTCATTTTCGACTTAAAGCAAAGCCTACATAATTAACCAATTCAACACCAATCGCAAACAGTGAAAGAAGTATGTGAGGAGATGAACAAACAATACTGCCCTACCTAGGTGTACTACGCTAATAACAATATCCAAGTCATAATTTTAACTTTCCTCCATAAAACAATGATTTATCTACAAACTATAGCAATTTAACTGCGTAAAAAAAGACACAAAACAATGGCTTACCTGATGATACTGTGACCATTGTCCCTTTCCCCCAATAGTCAAAGTAGCTGAACACAGTGTGACAAGGGCGTATGCCAAGCAATACAAAAACTACCCTCTTTACAGCAATTGGTTTCAACTAATCTTGATAACTTCATCACTAAACCAAAGTATTTTGGTTTGTAAAAAAAAATCTAAATAGATACTACATTCTAACATAGTCACACTTGGTCAACAATATATTTCCACAATATGGATCATTTTCTCTTAGACTGTCATTTTTTTCTAAGGAATGAAGGGTTTTCTATTTATAAGACTTTAGGAAACAAACTTCTGCATTATTCTACAACAGCAGAACCTAGAAATTGAGGAACTATTTGACTTTCAAGGAAATAAGTAAACCATTTCTTTAGTGGACCATGAACAGGTCTATTCAATGACGTTTTGCATCTGAAAAACGCACAAGACTACATATGTTATTTCTACACAGAAAATAGAATGGGAAAATTAAACATTTGATGGAAGTAATAAATGTAAGTTTGCTTACCTGTTGAGACGGTGACTTGTGTCCCTTTACCCCAGTAGTCAAAAGCATCACAGTGCTATGTCTCCATTCACTGCCTGTACAAAAACCCTGCACCTCAATAGGCAGCTTTAAAGTCATGACACTGAATCCAACAGACATGAAGATATAACGCAATATCGTAATATTATTATACACCTGATTTCTTAAGGACATACGTTGTGAATTCAGTTTTGTATACCTTTTAAAAACTGATGCTCAGGTCCATGTCATGACATCACTTACTCCATCAAAACATACTTTAAAAAATGTAAAACAATTTACAATGGGGTTATATCAATATCAGACGATCATTTGAAGAATATTGTATGGTTTCTCCCCATTTTCCCTATCCTCAGGCAGATATAATGCAAGTTCTGTCTCTGAGGTTTTTGTACAGCCTCATTTCACTGTGTACCCCACCCCATATCACAGTGATATACCCCAGCACAAAAACACCTCCTTCACATCTCCATAGGGATTCCATATGACTCTGTCTGCTCTCAGTCAGGTATAAGAAACATAAAACCATGGCTAAAACTATATATTGTAGCATTACTACAGATTCTTACAGTATTATATTCTCCATGAGTTGGTGGATTAATCTTCAATGTTTGTTATTATTGTTTGTGACTAAAGGTGTATCCATTGTCAGTTTGTGACAGTTGTTTGCAAATGTATGGATTTATGTCACAGTACAAAATCCAATATCATGGCTATGGCCAAATCATGTTTATGGTGAGGTTTCATTAGGTTTACATTGGTACCATTGTCGTGGGGGGTGTTTATTTGACCTGTTCAGTGTTGATGTGTCCATACAGGAGCAAAGGGGTTTTTGTACGGCGTAATATCACTGTGGCCCCCGTAGACCCAAACCATAACTGTATAGTCACAGTGATACACACCATAGCAAAAACCTCCCACCAGTACCACACACCTGCTCTATGAGGATAGCAACACATTCAGATGGTTGTGGATAGGTAATAACACACATATCTATTATTTCTTCAAATATTTTTGAAAATTGTAAAATATTATATATTATAACATGATTTAAGTATTCTTTAAAATTATAACATTTTACCTAAATCCTGCAGGTACAGTGCTTTACAACTGTTAAAAACATCTATGAGACTTTTTATTAATGAGCTTTATAATATTTTAATTTTCAACTCACTCAAAATAATTTAGTCAAAATTTGTATGAATGGTTTAACCTTTATTAATATTTGTTACAAAGTCAGCATCAATATGAATGATTTAACCTTTAATAGTTGTTATTTAGTCAGCATCATTATGAACATTTTTAACATTTAATAGTTGTAATTCAGTCAGCATCATTATGAATGGTTTAAACTTTAATATAGTTGTTATTTAGTCAGCATCACTATTAATGGTTTAACCATTAATAGTTGTTATTTAGTCAGCATCATTATGAATGGTTTAACCTTATAATAGTTGTTATTTAGTCAGAATCATTATGAATGGTTTAACTTTAATAGTTGTTATTTAGTCAGCATCATTATGAATGGTTTAACCATGAATAGTTGTTATTTAGTCATTATCATTATGAATGGTTTAACCTTTAATAATTGATATTTAATCGTCATCATTATGAACTGTTTAACCTTATAATAGTTGTTATTTAGTCAGAATCATTATGAATGGTTTAACTTTAATAGTTGTAATTTAGTCAGCATAATTACGAATGGTTTAACCTTTAATAGTTGTTATTTAGTCAGCATTATTATGAATGGTTCAACCTTTAATAGTTGTTATTTAGTCAGCATCATCATGAATGGTTTAACCTATAATAGTTGTTATTTTGTCAGCATCATTATGAATGGTTTAACCATTAATAGTTGTTATTTAGTCAGCGTCATCATGAATGGTTTAAGATTTAATAGTTGTTATTTAGTCAGCGTCATCATGAATGGTTTAAGATTTACAGTTTTTTACGATTGTTTACACACTAAAATTAAAATGTCCACACAATTAGCAAAATTGGACTCCAATGAGCAAAACACCTCCACAGATTTGCACAACATTACACACAATCTCCGCCTCACCCTTTTTGCAAAACATTACACACAGTGATTTGTAAAACTCTACACACATTTTCACACCTTAGACACAGATAAGGATCGTGAGGTTACTTCCTTGTAATTACAAAGCACCGGATTTCCAATTACCACACTAATGAACGAATTGGATAAACACATCTACCAGGTGTGGAAGCACACATGTGCTAATTTGAAAACGCAGCACTCAGGTGTGCTATAAAAGGCAGCAGGTGAGTTCACCTGTCTTCAACAAAAATGGAAGGAGTTAGAAGAAGAAGAAGAGTGAGAATGAGAGGGGGAGCTCAAAGAGGAGATGAAGGCGGTAGAGGAAGAGGAGAATGAGGTAGAGGAAGAGGCATAGGTAGAGGAGAAGAAGGTAGAGGAAGAGAAGGAGGTAGAGGAAGACACCTAGGTAGAGGAAGAGGTAGAGAAGGACTTGAAGAGTTGATAGAACCTGAACAAAGAAGACGAGGACCAAATTTGACTCGAGAAATCCGTGCAACACTTATTGACCATGTTATCAACCATGGACTGACACTGATGGAAGCTGGACAAAGAGTTCAACCAAATCTCAGCAGAAATACTGTTGCGTCAGTAATTCGGACATTTCATCGAGAAAACAGGTAAGCTAACCATACAGTATACATTGAAACTGAAGCTTGTATAATCAATATTGTTTACTGTGACATTTGACAGTAGGCTGCATATATATATATATATATATATATATATATATATATATATATATATATATATATATATATATATTTATATTTATTTATTTTTATCTTATTTTGTTTTTACATAGGATTGAGGGTCGAGGACACCAAAGGGGCCCTATGTTTAGTCGTGCACAAGAGGCCGCCATTGTGAACATGGTTTTGGCCAATAATTGTATCAGGCTACGAGAAATCCAAGCCAATATCATCAATGATGACAATATTTTCAATAACATCCAACGAGTCTCTCTGTCAACATTAGGTCGAATCCTAAAGAAAAATCAAATATACATGAAGCAACTGTATCGGGTACCATCTGACAGAAATTCAGAGAGAGTGAAACATCTGCGCAGTGAGTATGTGGAGGTATGCATTGTTCATCTGACTATGGTGTGGTATCATGCACTGCTCATAATGTTCTGTCACAAAAAAAATACTGTGCTATAGATATTGAATAGCATCCTATTTTCTTTAATGTGTTTCAGAGAGTCTTGCAAATGGATGCTGCTGAAATTCAACATGAATTTATATATGTGGATGAGGCTGGATTTAACCTTGCAAAAACAAGAAGAAGAGGGAGAAATGTAATTGGGCACAGGGCAATCACCAATGTGCCAGGGCAGCGAGGGGGTAACATCACCCTTTGCGCTGCTATCACACAAAATGTGGTCCTCCACCACCATGCAAATCTGGGACCCTATAATGCAAATCTGATACTTGCATTTCTTGACCGATTGCATGAGATTGTCACAGCATTACACCAAGTGGACCAGATGCGGTACATTGTCGTTTGGGACAATGTCTCATTTCATCGGGCTGCTCTAGTCCAGAACTGGTTCCATGATCACCCTGATTTTGAAGTTTTATACCTTCCCCCAATGTTGTGAGTTTCTCACTATTTTTTGTCACCTAAATTATCTCTCACATACAGTAAGAATGTCTGGCCAAAAATCTTTTTATTTTTATTTTTTACAAATGTGTTTTTTATTTATCACAGCAGTGTGAAACTGGCTGCAATAGTGTATGATCATTGATGACTGTGTTGGTTAAATGAAAACAAATAGCATTTTCACAAATATGTGTATATGTTTTGACTGAAGTGTGTATGTTTTGACTGAAGTGTGTCATTTTGCAAACAATCTAGGAATTTTGCTAATTGATTGTGGTGTTTGGATAATTGTGATTATATTTTGACAAAAAGAACTCTGTTTTCAAAATCGCGTGTAAACAATTAAAAAAAACTGTAATAGTTGTTATTTATTCAGCATCATTATGAATGGTTTAACCTTTAATAGTTATTTAGTCAGCATTATTATGAATGGTTTAATCTTTAATAGTTGTTATTTAGTCAGCATCATTATGAATGGTTTAACCTTTAATAGTTGTTATTTAGTCAGCATCATTATGAA